GGAAAGAGCAGGAGGGGAGAGACGGGAGAGGAGGAAGGGTGAGGGTGGCAGAGAAGGAAGGAAAGGGAGAAGAAAAGGAGTCTTAGGAGAGAGGGAGAAACCTCGTGCAAGGCAGGAGAGAGAGAAACACGGAGAGAGACATGCACACAGAGACAGAGAAGGAGAAAGGAAAAGAGGAGAAGGAGAGGTGAAGGAGATAGAGAGGGAGGGAGACCTGAAGAGTCAGAAGAAGAGAGGAGGAGAGAGGGCAGAGAGAGAGTCAGAGAGAACTACAGAGAGACACCCAGGAAGAGAGCATAGGAGGGAGGCCTGACGGGGGGACAGAGACCTATGAGAAAGAAAGGAAAGAATGAAAGGCCAATAGAGAGCAGAAGAGATGTGCAAAACCAGAGGAGAGTAACAGGAAGGGAGGGAGAAAGCTGGAGGGCAGGCAGAGAGGGCAGGCAGGCAGGGAGTGCAGTGACCGCTAGGCCTGAGGGCAGGGTCCCAGGCACATGGCAGGAAACAGAGCTGACTAGGTGAGCACGTGCTGCACGCCCAGCTTCCTGCACGTAGCTTACCCCCAGGGGTGCACCGAATGTAGGGGGGCGATGGAGGGCTGGGGCCACTGTGCATCCGTGGGTCTGGGTACCAAAAGTTCAGTGCCCCAGCTCCAAGTGGGGCTTGGAGCAGGGGCCTGGCTCTGTCCCTATGGGTGAGACAGGCCCCACGTGGCTGGCCTCACTGCTGACACTTGCAGGCCCAGAGGAACTGAAGGCACTCAACTCTTCTCACTTAGAAGCTGCTCAGGAAGCCTCATAGGGCATGTAGGTGCCTCTCTAAGCCATGGCACTCCTGGGCCCTGCTCCTGGGGCCACATGCTATCGTCAGTTGCTATGGTGATAGCTCCCAATGAATCAGACCTTCCAGTATGGGGTATCATGCCCTTGGGTTGTCCCCTGCTACACTGAATCTGGCCTTGGCCATGTGACTTGCATTGGCCAATGGAACATCAGCAAGTGCAATGAAAGCAGAGGTCTGAGAAACCCTTATGTCCTGGAGCCCATCCTCCTGGAATCCTGCGAACACCATGTAGTGAGGAAGTCCAGGATGAAAAGCCACGCTGACAGGAGCCCAGCCATGCTAGCTGTCCCCACTCCACCCCTCACAACTGAGTCAGCCTCCGGAAGCCTGACAGCCAACTGTTGCCACCGAAGTGACCTCAGTAAACAAATTGCCCAGCCAACCCACAGAACTGTGACAAATAATTCATTGTCTTTTTTGTTTTTTTGAGAGAGATTTTTGCTATAGGGTTCCTGTGTTCGCTGATGAGACAGAGACAGAGAGACAGAAAGCAAGAAGCAAGAAATCACCCCTTGGGGGGATGGCCACACCGCAGTCCTTTCTCTTCCATTCTCCTCTCAGGATCTTGGTCATGCACACATACATATGCTGCCAGCATGAGTTTTAAGTCACCAGATCTAGGACCTGAACCGCGGCCGACTATGTAGGTGTCTTAGCAACGTAACCATTACACCATCTGCTGATCCCCATTGTCGTTGTTTTAAGCCACAAAGTTTTGGGGGGCCTGTTACACTGCTGTAGATGACTAACACAGAAATTGGGGGGCTCACTCGTGTAGCTGTGTTTCACTGAAGGCCAAGCTGGGCCAGAGGGGCCAAGCTGGTATCAGTTACAGGTCTGGTAGTTACGTGGGCTGTCAGCCAGGGCATGTGGGTCCCCTGGTCTTAGCAGGCTGGCATCCTTTCACACGCGGTGGTCTCAGGACTGTTTCAGGAGAGCAAAAGCGAAAGCTGCAAGACCCCTTAGGCTTAATCTTGGGATCGCACGGTATCACTTCTGCTACATTCTATTGGCCGTAGCAAGTCATGGGCCAACCCAGATTCAGGGGGTAAGAAATTGGTCCCCATCTTTTTATTGTTGTTAGGTTTTTTGCCATAGGGCGTGTGTGCTCACTGGAGAGAGACAGAGACAGAAGAGAGGGAAAGTGAGAAATCGCCCCTCATGGGGGATGGCCACACTGCAATCTCTTCTCCTCCATTCCTCTCTTGGTATTATGCATGTGTGCACACGTGTCTGGCATGATTTTCAAGCTACTGGGTCCAGGCTTGAACTGTGGTCGGTCATATGGGACCAGCACCTTAACCTCTATGCCACCTGCTGCCTCCACAACCCCCTTTGCCATGTAGTGGCAGTGGCAAGTCACAATGCTAGGAGGCCACGTGCAGGGATGGGAGGAATTCACAGCATCTTGTGTTCCACTGCCCACTCTACCTCCTGATGCAGGAGAAGCATCGTGGGGGCTGTGCGCTCCCAGGACAGGTCTGGGATGTTTAAAAAATCCCAAATCGGTCTGTAAAATGGTTCTTGAAACCTCCTTGCTCTGCAAATTTGTTCATCCCTTCATTCCTTCATTTGACTCTGACTGAGGGCCTACTACGTGCCAGGGTTACCCAGAATCAGATATAAGGCAGTGTAGTAGGGAGACTCTGGAGTCAGACAGAAAATGGGTTGACCCTTTCCACCATGCACACGCTACTTGCAAGCTCCTGAGTCTGTCTGAACCTCTGCTTCTTATTCTGTAAGACAGAGGTACCCACTTAGTAGGGCTGCTGAGAAGATGGAATGACACGAAGCTTCCAACAGCCGGTCTCACATTCTGGAGCTGCTTCACTGATCCTTCCTCACATCCTGGATCAAGTCTCCCAGGACTCAGTTCCCCGGGGGGCCAAGATTTGTGCTGCTTTTGCTCATCACTGTAACCCGAGGGCCCAGCACATAGTAGGTGCTCAAATAACATTCTGACTGACTGGTCAACTCTGACTGCCCTCATCGCCACTCTAGCAGCCTGGGTGTAATTGTTTGTTTCTGGCCTCTCTGTTAGAACAAAAGCTCTGTGAGAGCAGGGACGAGGAGGTCTAGCTCGTTTTCCTGACCCCCAGGTCCGGCATTGAACCCTGGCTTTATCCCCTCCTGGTGAAACAGATGTCTCTGGGCTAGCTGAGAATTTTCAGCAGAGACCTTTCTGAGAGAATCTTTCTGTTCCCACTGGGGTGGGGGTAATTAGAACGGAGGCTGGTAATTATAACCTGACCACAGTTCCCTGCAGCCTTGTCACCCATTGTCCCCGTTCCAGCTGTTGTTCATGCCACCCCTGCTGTCCCCTCCAAATGCTGCAGAAGGGACCCTGAAGCCCGTGTGACGCCTCATTAGCCCGCAAATGCCATCCCTGTCGCCCCTGTGGGGGGCTTGCTGGCAGGGCTGGCCTTTAAAACACACAAGTTAATTCCTCCTTTGGCGCTCGGCCTCGCCCGCCCCACCTCCCCCCTTCCCTCACACCTTCCTCTCAGGCCCCGTTCCGGCTCTGCTCCCTGCTATCTGCACAGCGAGAACAGACTGTACCTCGCAGCAGCTGCTAAATATAGACCCGCATCAGCGGAATATTCCTGGCTGGGGAAATGGAGCTGGGGCTGGGAATGGCACCAGGGCGGCTCTTGCAGAGGGGCTGTGGGCAAGGGCAGGAGGATTCTGGTTCTTCCTGGGGAATATCCAAAAGGCCCTTTCAGCCGGAGACGCTGAGGGACCCTAGAACAAGGGCGCCTTTTCAACTCCTTCGCCTGCTCTTCTGGTGCTCATGTCTGGCGTCTCACGAACTGTTCCTGCTCTCCCAGACTCCACGGCCCCTCACTCGCCGCCCTCTGCGCTGGGGCATGCTCCTTCTTACTCATGCACCTGGGGTCTGATCCTTCCTCCGCTGACTCGCCACCTCTCAAGACTTAATTCTGGCTCTTCTGGTATGTCTGTGCTTCCTCTCCTCCACCCCGATCCTCCGAAGGCCCCCACCTCCTCCGTCTAAATGAATGAAAGCTTCATCATCCGCGTCACTATGCCAGGCGTCGCACTGAGCCCTTTACACACGCACCGATCCTCTGCAGGGCCTTTCCCCAGAAATCCATGCTACTCACACCCTCCTGTCATTCAGGTGTCTGCCCAAGATCGCTTCCCCAGAAAGGCAGGTCTTGATTTCTTAGGCTAAGCCTACCCCTTCACCCTGTTCCACATTCTTCCTAGACTCGCTGCTCCTTGACATGACATGTTTACATGCAGATTTTCTGTATTTCCCACTTCAGTAAAGCTCTATGAAGTACAGTCCTAGATCTGCCCACTGCTGTGTTCCTCGTGCCCAGAACAGAGCAGGGCACAAAGTAAGCACTCAGTAAATCAGGTTGAAGGGATGGGTGAGCTCTCCCGCGAATCCTCATGACAACCGTGTGAGGTGGGTGTTATTACTCTCCTGTGCACGTGGGGAACCCGAAGCTGAAAGAGCCCCAACCATCTAGGTATTCCTTTCCCCCTCCTGTCTTCTTAAAGCCAATATGGTTAAAATGCAATGATTTAGTTCTATACCGATAGATTCTAGGGCACATTCGCTAATTTCTCTGCTCCTAGATGGTTTGCTTAACTCACATCCCTCCCTCTGTGGCAATAGGCGATGCCCTCGCTTAGATGAACACACAGGCCTAGGCTGAGGGAGGAATCAGGGACATTCGGGACCCCCAGTCCTCCTCAACCAGTCCCATATATTCATCTAGGCCCCCCCAAGGTTTGGCCTCTGTAGGATCTCACTGCCATCCTCCTTCTCGATCCTCAGCACTTCCACTAACCTTCACTCCCAGTCCCTCCCCATCTCTGGCCTCCTACCCAGACAGGCAGGTGAAGGAGTCTGGGTGGGTGTTGAGGAAGGTGTAGGCCTTTGGTTTTTATCCTTTGGGACTCTGTGCTGGGCACCCTGTCTCCGGGGCCTCCCTGCCTCCAATTTGTGCCTCCGAGCCATGCTGCACAGTAGCAGCCCGAGGGATCTTGTTAAAATGAAACCCTGAGCATGTCACTTCCCTGCTTAGAAGTCATCAATGAACCCACCGTGCTGGCGAGGAGGGAAACAGGCACTCTTCTATGTGGCTCGCAGGAGCGTCATCTGGTACATTTCGGCATTCTCTCTCGAGACTCCAAATGCATGTGCCCTTTGACCCAGCCCTCCCACTTCCCGAAAATCATCCTGCAGATACCCTCACACGAGCACAAATGATGTATGTGTGAGGTTATCCACTATGGCGTTGTTCGTTGTGGCAAACGATTGGACACGGCGTAAGTGTCCATCAGTAGGGGACTGGCGAGATAAATTTCAGTGTGTCCACAACAGCGGTTAAACAAAAGAATGAGGAAGCGCTTCATGGACTGATACGGAATAATCTTCAAGATGTATTGTGAAGCGAGAAAGGCAGGCGGTGCGTATGGTGTTCGCGGCCACCGCTGGTGTAAAATAAAACAAGTACATGGACCTTATTTTCTCACACGTGCGTGGAGTAGCTCTGAAAAGATACACGAGGAAATTACATCGGCTGCCTAGGGGACAGAGCTGGGTGGCTGGGGAGCCGGGTGGGGTGAAGAATTGCTAGTAAGTGCCCATCTGGACTTTAAAAATTATGAACCTGGAAATGATTGTTATCTATTTTAAAAATGACTTCATGCTTTTTGAGTGAATAAGTTCACAATCTCACAGGATAGATACCCTGAGTGGCTACCTCTGGGGCTACAGTGACGGAGGACAGGGCCTAGGAAGTGTTTTCTTTTCTTTTTAACATTCTTGTGATGTTTGAGGAGTTCCTAAAATTTGCAAGGAGAAGAAAGGTCATGATGATATTTTGTGTAAGAGAATACATTTTGTAATTGTGCTCATAGACTGGAACATTCCTCCCCCTCCCCAATAAAACAACACACACGTACACACACACACAAGAACCCAAAACCCTTAACCATCAACCCTCCCCCTCCCTACCATTGCCCTGGGAATGAAACCCCAGTTCCTGAGCCTGGCTTCCTCCAGCACAGCTGGGCCCTGCACCTCTCCATCGCCTCTCAACACTCTTGGTTCCCCAGCCAGAGTCGCTTACAATTCCCCTCATGCCTCAGACTGTTCTCCTCCTCCAGCTTTGCCTGTGCCGTGCCCTCGGCCTGGAACGCCCTTCTCTGGAACCTCGGGCTGGCCGACACCATCCTACCCTTGGAGATCGCTGCTACGGTTTCCGAGAAGCCTGTATCCTAATCACCTCCGCCTTGGCCTGTCCCCCGACTCCCAGGACCGTGAGCCCCGCGATGGCATTTGACAAGTTCCGTGGGGTCTGATGTCTGATGTCGACTGCTGCCCTGCCCCTCTTATCCCAGAAGCGGTGAGAGCGCCCGGTTGGTCTGCAGCCACTCACCATTGTGTGACCTCGACAGTCACCCCCTCTCTGAGCCTCAGTCTCCTGATTCTCTCCTTCCTGGCGCTCTCTAGACGCTCATCAAGGTCTCACCTCAGAGCCAGAGAAGTGAGGGTGAAGTGCAGCACCATTGTTAGGAGGCGTTGGGCAAGGGGGACCAACAAATAAGACCCCAGCCTCTGTGCCGGTCTCTAAGGGTTTTTTCATCGGATTGCTAACAGAGCGCTCCAAACTGCGGAAAGGTGCCCTTCTTCGGCTCCCCACCCCCCACTTGCAACCTGGTAAGGACTGTGGATGTGCCTGACTCAGTTCAGCCCCAACGACACGTGGACCTCTAGCTTTGGATCTCTCAGGACTTTCAGGGTGCCCACAGCAGCCACCTCTTGTCTTTTTGGTTTTCTGTTGATTTTGCATGAGTTCCTCGTCTGTCTTATTTTATTCCTCGGTCCTTCCCTCTTTCTACCCAGCCACCCCACCTTCCCTGCGACCCTGGGGTATCCTGGAAATCCAGGGTGCTGCTTTCAGTGCTGGCAGGTGAGAGGGCTCAGGGCAGCTATCAGGGGGTGGTCTTTGGTGTCAGTCTGTTCCAGCCTCTGGCTCTCAGGAGCACCAAGCCCCTGGCTCTGCCCTTAAGCTCCTCCCCTGGAGCTGCACGTCCCAGCACTGCCCACTGGAGTGGCCACACCCTTTGCATTTGCTCCGCCCCCTGGTTTGGTTCTGCGCCTTTGGCCAGGCTCCCAGCTCACCGGTCTTGGGGTCCACGGTGAAGTGGTGCTCGCCGTCCAGCACGCTGTACACCAGCCGGGCGCTGCTGCCGTATGTGGGGTCGTCCGCATCGGAGGCCATCACCTGCATCACAGACGTGCCTGGGCCCGGGGGACCAAGTGAGACAGGGGTCACCTGGGGCTGCTGGGCTCCCCCGCATCCTCCCCACCCAGGGAAGTTTGGAGAAGAGACCCTCTGCAGACCCCTGGAGGTGATGGACACCAGCCCCCACTCTGGGTCCCAATCTCTTTCCTAGTCAAGGCCTTCCCCTTCCCCATCGCCCCCAGATCTGACTCAGAGTTCCCTTGGGTGGTTCCCAACCTGGGACTCTGGCAAGGGGCAGCAGCCGCTCTGAGTCTCAGATTCATCTTCAAGTAAATGGGGTTGATATTAGCCACCAGGTTGAGGGAGTGCATTTTAAACTCCCAGCACGAGCAGCTCAGAGCTTCTCTCAGCGGCTGTGGCAACAGTTCTCACCCCCAGTCGGAATCAAAGCCCAGAGTGGAGTCAGGCACCCAACTCCCAACCCCGAGGGCTTCCTACCTACCCCAGCTCCTCCAGGTTCCTCTAGGACTTGTGCCTCCCCGGTCCCCACCACGGTAGGGGACAGCTTGGAGGGACCACCGAGTTCAATGGGGCTTAGAAGCCACATCTTTGGGTATTTGGGCAGGAGAAGGGCAGTGCCCAGTCTTCCTTTTGGGAAGTAGTTAGCTGTGGGCCCTGGTGTCCTCCTCACCCATCCCTTCCCCTCCCCGCCCCTCCCCCAGGGTGTCCAGACAGCCCCCCTCACACACACACTTCTGATGCTCCGCACGTAGGTTGCTGGGGAGAGTATAAATTGGATAAAAGTCCATCAAACAGCGGCAATTAAGTTATTGATTTTCGACGCTGCCTCATTAAACTGGGAGCTTCTCTCGGCCTGTCCCAGAGATGGCTCTAATTTGACATCATGTTCAATTTGACGAAAGCAGGGCTTGGGACGTGAGGCTGGACCAGGGCGGGGGAGGGGTCAGACGGAAGGGCCAGCCAAGCCGTCTGGCCCATCCAAAATCTGGCCAGAAAGAAAGGGGTGGGCAGAAGACCAAAGAGGAAGTCTTCGGAGCTCAGGATATGACCCAAAGGGAGGAGACTGAGATCCCACTTTGAGAAGTCCATTCCACGGGTGCTGGGCTGACGGGGCAGGGTGGGGCCAGCAGGGAGCCATGTGGGAGGTGAGGCTGGGTCACTGTCTGGCTAATGAGAGAGCCTGGAAATGCCACTGCAGCAATTCTGCTAAGCCCAGCCCACTGCCTGCCTCTCCCGCCTCCAGCCTGGGGCCCTCGATCATTCCAGACAGACACATGTATTTATTTTTCACTCTTTTGCATTTCTCATTTCCCTCTCCGGGTTCTCCCTCCCAGCTGGAGCCTCCTCAACCCACCCTGCAATGCGCCTCTTTCTTGGGCGGCTCCAGCTCTATGTCAACCATGTCAGAGTTGCCTGGAGAAATTGGGGAACAGGCATGGGCAAGCCCCCTCCCTCCCGATGCTGGTGCCAGGGCCTCGTCAGGGCCGAGGACATGGCCCCAGGTGCTTCTGACTAGGAAGAGAAGGGAAACGGACTGCCGTGGAGCAGGTTCATCAGCACGCCAGTGGCTAGCTCTAACCCTCGCTGCATCTCTGAGACAGACGGGGCCTCTCTAATGCTGCAAGTCAAGTGGGGAGAACTGACCAAGGGCATGGAGTGAGGAAATGGTGTAATGTGAACCCAGAAATCTCTGCTCCCAAAGCCTTTTTGGGTACCAGTGTCAGCACCAGTACAGTGACTTTGGGGACAGAGTCCAGTGCAATAAATCACATCACGGACGGTACTAACACTGTCTGACCTTGGACATGTCAGGAACCTCTTTGTGCCTGCATTTCCTCATTCATGAAACGAGGGTGGTTACCTCCTGTTATCAACCTCCTGAGATCATCTGGAGAATTCCAGTGATTCCCACGTTCAGCACCGAGGACAGTGTCCAGCCCGCAGAGAGCCCAGTAAATGCAGGTGGCTGTTGTCTCCCAAGGCTGGGAGGCTTGGAGGCTGGGAGGCCAGCGCACACGGCACAATCACGCCTCCCTCGCCAAGCGACGGGACGTGAGAACACACATAAAGCTTCGGGTTCAGAGTGGTTGCACAGCAAATTGTGCTGTTGGGACTGTGAGGAGAGAGGGTCTCCTGTCACTTCCCCCTGCAGTTCCCCTCACCCCCTGGGCAAGGCACAATTCCGGGCTGAGTGACTCCCCGGGGACACGGCAGAGCTCTCTCTCTCTCTGTCTCCTTGGCTGCATCCCAGGGCCTCCCGAGGGGATGATGGAGTCGTTTCCCCAATCTGGGATTCTTTATTGCAGCCATTACAGTTAATGCTGCACGTGGGGATGGCAAGGGGTCAGTGATTCACCACGGTTCCCCAGGCCCCATGGGAAAGCCTTCCTAGGGCCAGAAGCCCCCTCCCACCTTCTTCGCAAGTCAGCAGCTCCCCAGAATTTGCAGACAAAAAGGTGTCAGGCTTGTGGCTGCTGTAGGACTGCTTTGGGGTCACAACCCCCAGCCCCCAGGGTCAGTAGTTTACATTTTTTAAAAAAGCTTTATTTATTATCATTTTTATTATTTTAAGTTTGTTATAGGGCATACGTGCTCACCAGAGAGAGAGAGAGAGCGCGAGAAAGCAAGTCACCAGGTCCGGGACTCGAACCATGGTCGACCATATGGGAGTCCAACATCTTAACCACCACGCCACCTGCTGGCCCCAGCAGTTTACATTTTATAGGCAGTGTCTTGCCCATTCTCTCCTTTAGCCCTCACTCACACCAGCTCTGAGACACAGATGCAGTGGAGTGCTGCCAAGTGTCTAACTTCCGATTCTGGGGGAGGAGGGGTGGGCAGGGATGCCTTGCTTTGTAGTGTCTGCCAATTTCTATGGTGTAAATGCTCCACTGCAGCCCATTTCTGAGTTGCCAGTATGATGTCAACTGGCCCTCCAAACCTCTCCTAATAAAAATGCATATCTCATGAGCTGGTACATGCCAATCCAGCACACCCCTGCACTGTGGTGATTTTAAAAAATATATATAAATCAATTAATTATTATTTTTAAAATTTGCTTTAGAGCACGTGCACTCATGAGAGAGAGAAAGAGAGAGAGAGAGAGAGAAAAAGCCACCAGGTCTGGGACTCGAACTGCAGTTTGGCCATGTGGGAGTCTAGTGCCCTCCCACCGCGGCCATTTTACAGACTAGGAAACTGCTATCACAATGAAGGGTGCAAATGCGAAATAATCATTTAACCCGTTATTACATGGGTTAAGTTAACCAGTGACGATGACGGTGTATTCCACTTACTGAACAACTACTTTGTGCTAGATAATGTGATCTAAGCTCTTTACGCATACTATCTCACACTCGCACTTCAACAGAAAGGCTATTAAAAGTCACTCTGCAGATGAGGAAATGGAAGCCGGGTGAAGTTAAGTCATGACCCTCTTTGTGCTTCAATCTCCTTATTTGTGAAAACACTAATAATACTAAAACCCACCAAACTCCGGGAATAGTGGTGAGAACTCACAGAGCTTTCCATGCTCAACGCCAAAGACAGTGACTGACCAAGTTCACGGGGTGAGAAGTAGGAGAGGCAGCATTTGGGTCAAGTCGGACTTCAGAAGTGGTCCTGGCACCCTGGCAGGAGGGACTCGCTATCCGTGGTGCTGCCCGGCCCTGGGGCTAAGCTGCAGTGAAGGGCTTAAACCAGGCTGGAACAGGAAGTGTTGGCCAACTGATTCTTGAGTAAATAGGATCTCAGGGCCCAGGGGGTCTATGTGAAATGTTAGCCATAGAAGACTGGTCCTCAGAGAGCACAGAAAACCAGTGGTTCTCAACCTGGCTGCACGGTAGGCCCTCAGGAGAGCTTTAAAATAAGACCGATGCTGAGCCCATCCCCAGACCAATGAAATAGAATTCTCCCGGGGCAGAGCCCAGGCAGTGGTATTTTTTAAAGCTCCTGGCATGATCCTAAAGTGCTCCCTGGGCTCCCAGATGATGCCCTAGACGCAAACCCTGGTTGAACTGATGAGGAAACTGAGTCACAGAGGGGCTAGTGGCTTTCCAAAGGTCACCCCTCATTAGTAAGCAGCAGAGAAAGATTAAAACCGACATCTGCCTAGCCAGCATGTTGCCCTCATGGACTCCCTGAGCCTGATACCCAGAGGCAGCAGCCAGGATGCCCCACGCCAGGTCACCAGAGCGCCTCCCAACTAGAGCCAGTGCAAAGAGCAGACGCTCCTGAGAACAGACGTCCCTCACACCTCCATGGAGACTGGGTGGGCTTTGGCATCAGAGTCCTGGTTTCAAATCCACTTCCTCACTCTGGACCCTCTGCTAACTCTTTTCCCTGATCTGTGATATTGGAGGGACCCTCCCTGACTCTTAGGGATCCTATGGGGTTAGAGATGATGGTAAGAGGCTGCAAAGCCAGGTGTGCAGCAGGTGTTCTACGGGGGCTGATTCCTCTCCCCCTGCATTGTCAGGAGGCACTGGAGGGAGAGGTTTGTCGATTTCTCATCTCTGACTTATCTGGGTGGCTCTGACATAGTCTGTCATGGAGCCAGAGTTGGAACCTATGTCTAGGCTCCCAGGCCGGAGTTCTTTCCTCCAATTTTCTTTTTTTTAAGGGAAGCCTACTTCTTTCTTTCTTCCTTTTTCTTTCTTTCAGAATTATCCATTTTTAAAAATTTATTTATTTATTTATTTTCCAATTCATCAGAGGGAGAGGGAAAGTGAAAAAGCAAGCCACCAGATCCGCAACTTGAACCGTGGTTGGCCACGTGGGAGTCCAGCACCTTAACCACCAGGCCACCTGCTGGCCCCAGTTCTTTCCTTTTTGACTTTCCTATCTGTAGGGTATAATGGAGGCCCCAGAGCCCCCAGGAGGGGCCCCAGCTTGATCCAGGAGGAGGTGGCGCTGTCTGCAGCAGAGCGCAGGAGTTGCAGGTGTGACTTCTCATTTCAGCCCTGTCTTTGGCTCTGTGTGGCTGTGAAAAGCCACCTAATCTGATTGAGCCTCAGTCCCCTCCTGTAAAATGGAG